TGTTGCTCGCCCAGAATCAACTTGAATTTTCTTTGGGCCGATAAATTTTCCCCTTAAGGCAAGTGTGGTACAGTTTCCAAGAGCGAGGCTGTTCAGTTTCCAGAAACAGTGCCTTGCAATTTCTGGAGCGGGGGCAACACAATTTTTATTTTTTATTTTTCCCAAAAACAACACAGCCCCTTCTATTCTGGGGGCCATCAGTCCGGTTGCTTATCACTGGCAAGCATGTGTTTTCTGGAACAAGCAACAGGGGAGATCAGACAGAAAACAAACTCAGCCTATCCTTGTGACTCGAGCCCGCCTATACAAGGGGGGGTTGCTTCGGCTCAACCCACTCCTGCCATTTGGTCTTTCCTCGGGTTGTCCTGCAAGTCGGGAAGCTTGCTAGCAGCACCCAGGAACAATGCAGGATAATCCCCAAGAGGAGAATGCACAGGCGGGTGGGGGGGKCCTAGCAGCCCCACAGACCGCGTATTTTYCACCTGTGCTATGCAATTTCCAAGGCACTGAGCCTGAAGTATGGTACACTAAACCATGGTTTTGGGAATGGATGGCCTGACACAGCTGTGAATGGTTTGAACTTGGTGTAGAACTGGCTGGTACATCGAATTGTTTGCTATATAAAGCTAAGATGCTATGCAGGGGGAGGCTGTGCCCTGGCTGGTACATGCGATCTAGAGCTAAGATGCTGTCGCTGGTACATAATTGTTTGCTATATGGAGCTAAGATGCTACGCAGGGGGAGGCTGCTATGTGCCCTGGCTGGTACTTCCTATCAAGAACTTGGATGCTGTAGAAGTAGGCTGCTATGTGCCCTGGCTGGTACTATGTGCAGTGGCTGCTACTACGTATGCTGGCCACTATGTGTACTCAATCCTGTGTACAATAGGTGGTAGGTACTACGTGGGCTGGGTGGTATCTGCAGTAGGCAGTACTTCCTAAGCCGGGTGCCATCTTCACTGGGTGGTGGTAGCTGGGCTGGGTTCGGTGACTCCAACGGTCGCCCCAAAACTAAGAAATAACATAGACACAAGGTATAATCGTCTGTGTTAAATTCCGTGCCGTCCGGCGGCCCAGCCTCCGTCCGGCAGGGGTCCCGGGCGGCCCCGCCGGTTGGGTCCCCTGGTTTGATGCCATCGAACCGGGCGGGCCCAGCGCATTTTCGCGCGGGGGGGGGGGAGGCCTGTTTCGACATTTCTGGGCCTTGGGAGCCTCCCCGCCCCCCCGCGCAAAATTTTTCGGCGCGCGCCAGCTTCGAATTCGAAGCATCGAGTTGCTCCCGCCGCTGCCCAGTGTAGTGTGGTCGAAGTGCAGCCGCGCCGACGTAGTACTCCCGCCGTCGACGCCCGTTGCTGCCCGCCCCGTCAACGCCCGTTGCTGCCCGCCCCGTCAGCTTCCGTCGCTGCCCGCCCCGTCGACGCCCGTCGCTGCCCGCCTTCGTCGAAGTCGTGCTCCGCCGTCGACGCCCGTCGCTGCCCGCCATCACCGAGGTGCCCGTCGTCACAGCCGCCGCCGCTGCCCGTCGTCGTCGATACGGTACCGTTGCGCAAAGTGCCATGTGTCAGCTCTCTCTCTCTCTCTCTCTCTCTCTCTCTCTCTCTCTCTCTCTCTCTCCTCCTCCTCCTCCCTCCTCCTCCTCCTTCGCCATCCTTTTCTTTTTCTTTTTTTTTCGTCGACGTATCAAGAAACTGGCAGATCCTTCTCCTCCTCCTCCTCCTCCTCCTCCCTTCGTCTTCTTCTCTCCTCCTCCTTTCTCCTCCTCCTCCTCCTCCTCGTTAGTTTCCTTTATCAGTCGAAGTGACACGTGCCACGTGTCAGCCGAAGTTTGGAGTTCCTCCTCCTTTCTCCTCCTCCTCCTCCTCTTCCTCC